AATATATAATCATTTAAACAATCAAAGGGCACATTCTGCAAGCCTGCCTTGTGGCCATAAGCACACAGCCTTTCTCTTTCTCTCCATTCAATTTATTCTTGATAATTCTTTGTTACACTTAGGGGAGTTTTTTTGTAGCATTTGTGTTGTAAGGTCTAGCACACACACACATTAAATCACACACTTTCTTATTTGTACTGAAATGTGTCCCCCAAAAATGTGTATTGTAAGTACAAACACTATACTTATGGTTGAAACACATTTGCTCAAGGATTTTCTTTGTTTTGTAGTAGTAGTATACGGTGTCTTAATTCCATCTCTTGTGAGACATAAATGAGGAGATTGAGCAAGCAATCAAGCATCATCTATATTGATGGGGGATACACCCCATGTCACATGATTGCCTTCATTCAGACTTAGTCTTCTAAACTGGGGGACCATAATTTTTTGTTTTGTAAAGCCACCCACTTGTGGTACATCTGTTAAAGCAGCACTGAATAACTATGGCATACCCTAACAGGCAGTAAGAGGGATTATCCTTAACTAATTGCATAAATGTTTGGAATGCAAACTCACCTCATGCACTGTAGAAGAAAGGCCTGGCAATCTTCTATAATTAATGTAGTCAAGAAAACTCCATTGGGCAGTTCTACTCATGGGGTGGCACTGAGCTGCAATTGACTGGACCACATTGGGTTAATGCACAGTATGACTTCGTTTTTCTTTGTAAACCTGGTTTAAAGTAAGTGTCTCTACATCTGCAAAAGGTGGAGTCTTGTCCCTAAGTTGAGGAGGCTGTGCATCTTGTGTGCAAAAGTGGGGAGAGGGAACTCCTCCTAATTAGATCTGTTCAGATCTCTGACTCAGCCAACTCACCTTTCAGGACCTAGAAAGGAATAGCGCTGAGACCCTCTCCCCTACCCCTCCCCACTGCCCTCCAACTCTAGGCCCTCTGAGACATGTGGAATCACATCTCTATGTTGTTGTTTTGTTTTGGTGTTGTAATTGGTGTGTAGTCAGTTCAGACTCACAATGACCCTATATAGGGTTTCTGAGGAGCGGCTGGACACCATGAAGTTAGCAGTCTAGTGCTGATCCTACATCACCGAATCAGGATTCCAGTCTATATTGCTGCTGTTGTTAAGTGGCATCTAGTCTGTATTTTGTTGTTGTTATAGTGCCATCGAGTTGGTTCCGACTCATAGTGACCCTGTATAGGATGAGTGTCTTTGTGTGCAATGTCTGGTCTGAGGGACTGCATTCTTTCATCATCGTAAGACTTGGAATCCCAGGACAGGTCGAGACCCCGTGTGAATACCCTGAATGTGGACAGAGAGGATCAGCAAACCCCAGAGATCCCAGAAAGCCCACCCTTACATCCACTGTCAGAGCCATCAGACCGACCCCGATCTTGAAAGTCTCAGGAACGGAACTGTCTGGCGTGAGGGGGCAGCCCCACTTCTAAAGAGAGAATGGGACTAGAGCTATCAAGAGGCCTTAGGCAAGGAGTTTAGTACTAATAGGGAGGTTCCACTCATAGAGCTCCCAACAGATTAAGACGAAAGTGTTGTGTCCTAAATCTCCACTAGGAATGCAAGGGCTCTTATCTGAACCATAAAGGCACAAGCCTGCTTCCAGGTAGACTCAAGTGTGGAAAGAGAGGAATCTCAAGGTTTACCAGGAGTAAGCATCAGAAATGGACAATTGTGGGATCTTATGAGATACCATCTGGCTCTGCCCTCTGCTGCCTCGTCTCTCACTACACACCCACGCATAGCACTGTCAGCTCTGTGCTTAGTTGATAGGTGGGTTGAGTCGCTGCCCAACCACAGCCTTCCTGTGCACAACAGAAACAGTTCTTGTTCCTGTGCCATCCTCACAATTGTCATGTTTGAACAATTGTGTCAATCCATCTGTTTGGGAATCTTCCTCTTTTTCAATGACCCTCTCCTTTGCCAGGCAAGGATGATGTCCTTTTCCAGGGACAGGTCCCTCCTGATAACATGTCCAAAGTCTATGAGAGGAAGGTTTGTCATCCTTGCTTCCAAGAAGCATTCTGGCAGAACTTTTTCCAAGACAGATTTGTTTGTTCTTTCAGAGTCCACAATATTTTCAATCTTCTTTGACAACATCATAATTCAAATGTATCGATTCTTCAACAATCTCCTTTATTCATTGTCCAGTTTTGAGTAGTTATGAAGTGATTTACAATGCCTTGACTTTGGTCCAACACACTTTATTCCTTAAAGGGATACCTTTGCTCTTTAACACTTTAAGGAGGTCTTTTGTGGCAGACTTGTTTTAAAAAGTACATAGTTTTATTTCTGGACTGCTGCTTCAATGAGCATTGATTGTAGGTTGAAGTAAAATGTGGATATACTACTGTGACCGATTTTGAATTATTTTCAGCAAAATTTTACTTGCATGTGATATTAATTGCATTGTTAAATGATTTCTACATTGTGTTGGGTCACGTTTCTTTGGAATGGGCAAAAATATGGATTACAATCAATCAGCTGGCCAGGTAATTGTCTTCGAAATGTCTTGAGACAGAGGAGTGTGTGTCTCCAGTTTGTTTAAATATTTCAAGCTGTTGTGTTTCGATTCCTGGAGCCTTGTTTTTGTCAATTCCTTAAGTGCAGTAGGCAACTTGGAATTCTTCCTCTAGGTTCTTGATCATATGGTATCTATCGAAATGGTGGAACATCAACCAATTCTTTTTGGTACAGTGACTCCGTGTATTACTTCCTTCCCCCAATTCCCACTTTGTTGTTGTTGTTGTTTATAAAACAAGATCATCAGCTTTACTTTTCACCAATCATATGTTTTGTTTCATCTCAATGATTACACTCCCATCCTTCTAATAACAGTTATCCTGCTTGCACTCTGTGGCTTCCCTTTTGAGTATTATTTTTCACAAATGATCAAAGCAAAAATATTTGGAGTACACAAATAAACCAACAAACATATATTCATTTACATGTCCAAAGGACGCATTTTGCAAGACAGCTTCCTGCCCACAGGCACGCAACTTTTCTCAGTCCATGGGCCTAGAGACCTCTGCTGCTCTCTCTATATGCCATGGTCTGTGCCATTGTTTCTGGGTTGTCACCACTTTTTATGGGTAGGATTTTACACTCCACTCATGCTCTTCCTTCTTCATGGTCCTGGGTCTTATGTTCCTGAAATGAAAGATGAACGACTCCCCCATTTTAGTTATACATCTACAATTACGTTTATGACAATCACAATTAATCATTCTAAAGTTACTCACAGTTGAATCATGAAATCCTATCTCCAGCATCTCCCATCGCCTTTCACCAGACCCATCTGGTAAAGAGGTATATTATTCAGTCGAGATTCTACCTTACCCTCCTTATTCTGAAACTCAACACACTCATGAAAGTTTATAAGCCAGCCACTTTGTGCCTTGTAGCCCAGCATAATATTGATAGCCAATG